TTCGCGAAGCAAAAATAGATATGAAAAAACAAGGATTAACAATCTATGGTGATTTTGTGCCATTCTGCGAGGAGACAGACTCATCTGAGACTAAAGAAACCAATGATTCCAAATATGCGGGTCTGGAGCAGTAATCGCGTAATTTTAAAGATACAGCATATATTATTCATGACACATTTTAGCGTTATTAATTTACCAGAACTATTAGAACATATTTTACATTTCTTAGTGATAGATAAATCCCTCTATCCCGCTCTATTTGTTTCCCGATTGTGGTACAGATGCGGTGCACCTATTCTATGGAAACGTATTGAGCTAAAGAAAGGTGGAAGAAAGGATTGCACTCGATTGAAGAAATTTATGAAAATAGTACGAAAAAGACAAAAGCCAGTCTATAGCTCAAATCTAACTCATCTAGAAATTTCACACTACCGCTATCTTTCGGATAAAAAAATCAAAGGCATTGTGTGCTTGTTCCCAAATATAGTTCATTTAGATTTTAATTTTAGCACAGGGTTTAGCGATAAAACACTAAATCGAATAGCAGAATCATACCCCAATCTGAAGTATCTTAATTTGCAAAAGGACGAGTATGTATCCTGTAATATGGGCATAATAACTGGTAAAGGTCTATATGCAATTGCCCGATCATGCCATAAATTAGAATATCTAAATATTTCTCATCGCACAGATATTTGTGGACAATCAATTTGTAATGTTATTCGTTCTTGCCCAAGGCTCCAACAACTCGACCTTGGCTTTTGTGGAATTAGCGATATAACTATTGAAGAAATTGCTAGATCATGTCCTAATTTAAAATATCTTAATCTGAGAGGGTGTTATAAAATTAGTAAAGAAGCCGTAGATCAGCTCGTTTCACTTAATCCAAATATCAATATCGAGAATTTCGTGGATACTATAACGCCTCCTGATTTTATTAGCGCATTTAGAGATTATCAGGTCCCTTTGAAACCTCTTGTACAGCACAATGTTGCTAATAATCAGTATTTAGCTCAGAACCTTTTATCTCTATGTATGCGGGATAGTTTGCAGTGGTATTCCGATCCAGGGTTGGTTGACTGGAACAACAGGCCGGAATGGTGATCATTGATCGGAATTTTTTGCGCCACAAGCGGGGTTACTCCTGTGCGACAAAAATAGGCTGATCACATAATAGTTTTGTGCGACATAATAATTTTTGCATATAACGAAAGGAAAATATATATGTTGACCAAGTCCCTCTATTTTTTTCCCAAACAAATGTGAGAAAATGTGAAAGGAGGTCTAGTTTCAACATAGGACCTACCGTAAAAGTAAATACTGACGGCAAAAGCATATGCTATGAAGGGCTGAGGACTTTGTAATTTCGAGATCTACAAGAACTAACTACCTTTGCGTCTCTCCGGTAGATCTACATGTGAAAAGGTATGAAGAATCCGTTTGCATGTGCCTTCATGGAACTCTTGGTATCAGACGACAATACTAATTACGCCACATACCTCCTTAACTTTTCCCAGCAAGATATAAAGCATGTAGGATATGTGAAAGTTCAGCCAACTTTCCGCAAAAATAATTGAGGTATGTATATGCCAGAAGTTATGTTTACTGCAAGCGAAAATTTCTCACTATGAACCTTGTATTTAGGAAAGCAAAGTGTCTTCCAGCTCCACTCTAGCTGACAGGTTAGAAGAATATGAAACGGAAAATCTTATCAATTTTTTGCGGGGAGATTCTGAATTAAGTCACATAGAACTTAGTGATGGCTTTTTTACGAGACTTTAGGATGAAAAAATCACCGGACATTTATTTCTCAAGTTAACCAGACAGGAATTCAGGGAATTCGGAGTGAAGATGAGACCTGCATTAGAGCTTGAGGACTACATTAAGAAGCTGTGTGAGTAATTTAGCCAAAAGGTGCTTTGCATAATGTTATAGCTGAAATCTAATTTACAGTCATTGTCTTTGTTAACAGATGATCGAAAACCAAGAATAAATTTAGATTATCTCTCAGCCAAAAAAATAGTATTTTTTATTCAAGCGATATATTCGCAATTTTATGTATCAGTTGTTCCGGCAACGTTTTTTTATTTCGTAAATAAAGTATTAATATATTCCTATTTCTGGCGTGTATCGGAATAAAAAAAGAATGTAAAATACGCATTATCATATAATAAATGGTATTCGTTTATAAATGAAGTTGGAAAAATTCTAAATTATTCTACACTATACATAATTATTTGTATTTATTCTTTACTATAAAATTACTACAATGCACCTTACAAATTTTATTCTAAGAACAGCAAGAAATAACAAGAAAGAAATTTACAACTTGAATATATTCCACAAATTTATTTTTGTTTGATAGGTGTACGGTTTAAATTTAGCTTTGGTTCATTTTCAGTTGCCGTTCGGCGTCGTTTTCCTTTTGTGTTGTTTGAAAGTAAGTTTCTTACCGCCGTTTCAGTTTGTAGCAATTTAATCTATATTAATAATAAACATGAGATAAATCTTATTTGGCTGGCCACTAGATAAAAAACAATAGCCTTACCTCAAGTGTTTTAATGACACAATAAGCATCTTCGATCATATTACAATCATTTTTGTCCGAAGGTATAATACACTGGTCGAGTAATCCGAACCTGTATACACCATCTCCAATCCAGTCTAAAGCGTAGAAGCTAAGTTCCATTCCTACATTGTTCAACACATATGAATTCAATTTAATTAAAATTCATGTCAAATAAAGTATCTGTTTTAGGACTTACCGACTTGAAGCCAGCCATAGACGATTATGTCCATGCGTTGCTTGTCCGAGGTGTGTTTGTACTTCTTTAGTAAATTATTGAGACTATCCCGCATTGTGACCATTAGCTTTACTTTATCAAGGAATCGTTTCTTGCGATGAGCTGAAGGTCCAAATGGACCTAATCCTCCCGAAACTTCCCCGTATACAACTTCAAACTTATTTAGTGTCTTGACCAGAACACACTTCATGTCAACTTTTCTCCCAATACGGGCCCTTTGGAATGGGTTTTGCTTTTCATTTCGAGCATCGTTCGTCGCCAGAGCTTGTGTCTCTCCCCTACATATGAAAGAGTTGTTCATTATTAAATATTTTTTAATGGTTCCACCAAAAAATCAATGTAAATAAAGATTACCAAACATCTTTTATGTGATCGGACGTAAAAATGCCTCGAAATAAAGGAAACGATGAGCTCATTTTGAGTTCTTCTTCCGTCAATGTTCCCTGGAAGGAACACATATTATTCTTTATAAATTGTATATTGGCATCTAACTTTTCAAATTTTTTATCATAATTTCTTTGACAGTTATTATCGAAGTATTGCTGAAGACTTTCTTCAGCAGGTGTATCAATCCATCCAATACAATTCGAGAATTCTTGATTCAACTCCTTCATGTCGATTTCTGTAAAATATTTACATCCGTGCAGGCTTTCGTTCGTCAAATCGAGAATACCCCAATACGCAGGTCTATATGATAACAAGAGAATAAAATGTACAGTATTAATAATTAAATCATATAAAAATCATAACCTAAGAACAATCATGCTAAACTTACGTCGAGACCTTACGGCACTTGGGGATTTTGGCCTGATAGCTGTGGAAAGCTTCAGAAACGTCAATATCAGAAGAAAGTTTATGCTTTAACGGATCCTATTGTAAGATGAGACTGTAAGCCCATTAAATAATGTGTCCATAAATGCAACATTAAAGGTTACCTTAGAGGAAATACCGCTTGCCAATGGCAACTTAATTTCTTCTTTGAGCGTTTTTTCATCTATATTGTCCATTCATTAGATTCTTCGAATAAAATTCCAAGGCTTTCTGCGAATTCATCATCTAAATATTCCTCATTTTTCCTCTTTCCATTTTTTTCGCGCATTTTTGCACTTTCCAAAGCAAAGACTTCCTCTTCCTTTTGCACTTGAACCGCAGTCTATTGTGTGGAAATGAAGTGTATAAATTTGCTATCCGTCCCAGTTCATTAATTAGTGTAGTGGCATTAACAAACCTTATACATAGATCCACCATATTTTCCATTATATACTCTTTCATATGGTTCCTGGAGTTCTTTCATAATTGCTTCAATCTCGGGAAGCTAATTTATAAAATCTTGTAAGCAAGATAATAGTAACAAATATCTCATCTTCGACGCTCACCTCTTTATTATCAAGATTTCTCCTAGCACAAGTGCGAATGTATATGGATACTCCTCTACGCGAATTTACAAAATCTAACGAGTTATAAAAGTTGTCTAAACACGTTTCCCATTGCGGTAATTCCTTCTCATTCTTACAGATCCAATCAATATAATGTCTTAAGCTCCAAAAACCTGCGTCGACAGAGTAGAAGTAAGAACATATAAAATTAGAGTATTGCTTTAAGTTTATTTCGTCAAGTTCATCGATAAACGGATTCTGCATTCTGAAAAGTTCGTAATAAATGGAAGTTTATAAATCTTAAGATACAGTACAATCTGAATAGTGAATATCTGATTATCTACAAAATTTTTCACCGTCCACACGCGTGACGTAGTTATCAATTATACCGTTATACGAGTATGGGGCAGTGATGTGCATTTTGTGCTTCAAAATTTGGAAGCTTTCATCCAATGAATTTATTAGAGAATCATGCTCTTGGGGTAGTTCATATTAAATCTCCAAGACTTTTCAGTAATAGGCGCAGAAAATGACAGAGTTCTTTGTGACGGCCATTTGGCGACAAGTCTCTGGGAAGGTGAACTTTGCTCAACTCACTCATGCCGGCCATTTGGCGATGAGCTGATTTGTCATCAAAGATATTTATTTGCTTGATGAAAAGGCCAGTTTGTTATGACAGACCATTAGGCGATGGCAAACTGAGTTAACCATCTTCCAAGCGATTCCATGACGGCCATTCGGCGATGGACGCTTGGCTTTTCTGTGGAGAAAATGACAGAGTCCTTTGTGACGGCCATTTGGCGACAATTCTCTGGGAAGGTGAACTTTGCTCAACTCATTCATGCCGGCCATTTGGCGATGAGATGATTTGTCATCATTGCTTGATGAAAAAGCCAGTTCGTCATGACAGACCATTAGGCGGTGGCAAACTGAGTTAACCATCTTTCAATCGATTCCATGACGGCCATTTGGCGGTGGACGATTGGCTTTTCTCATTCCTTTACGTTCAGTGATCTTGGGCTTCATTGCGTTCATTGTAAAAATATTTCTTGTCAGACACAGAAGTTGCGTCCTCAGCATAAGAAAGCCGAGGCTCGATTATGCAAACAAGGTAATTTTTTGTTACTCCAATCATGTTAGTTTATCATTAACACGGACTATATAAATATGTGGGTGGGAGACCGAAGACCTTACCGTAGGCTTCACTCAGAATGAGACGAATAAGAGGAAGAGAAAGCGAGGCGATGATGATTTCGAGACACTGAATTTACCGACTCATACAAATCACTATGTAATAGCGTGAAAGAGGTTTTGGGTATAATTGTGGATTTGTTAAAAGATAGGGCATGTGCAGAGGAAAGAAGAGGAAAGAAATGCCGGCGATAAAAAAATACTGGAGACGAAGCTCCGGACAAGACATTGCGCAATTAAGGTGGGAATACTTATTTCGCTCAGTTGTGAAGGAAGTGTCTTCAGAGCTGTAAACACATACCTGGCTAATATCTTTTCATTCCAGGGTTTGGAGGATCTCTTTAGCATCATGAAGGCATAAATGAAATGGATTATGGAATAACGTTGGGATAGGGTGGGTGTTGAGAAGGAGCCGGCGATGAAGAAAGAGGGTGTAATCATGTATTTTAGTCCGCAGTCAAAGAATAGAGTGTCATCATGTACCCTGGGCTAGTCCCGCATTATGTAATTTATTTTTAGCTCAATGTACTGCAAATAAAAAACGTTTAGGGTACTAGGTGACCCGCGAAATATAGTCAATTATTTTTCTCGTGTGGGGGTGATTGGTGTGATTCCTCTGGAATCTACATACTAATTTTTTATTTCTCGAGAGTATGCATATTAATACAGGGTAATTTAGAAAATCTGGATCGGCTAATTATTGGGCAACATGATTTCCAGAGAAGATCCAGGGACTTTCATGTTTTGCGACGATCAACTACGGTAAGGTCTTAATTATAAAAACTGGATGTATTGGAGGAGAACAGTTTCTAATAAGAAAAAAACAATCTCACTTGAACCAATTTCTCATCTATCTCCGCAAAATGCTTTCAAACTCTGATATGTTTTTGATCGTATCGTAATTATAATCTATGAGATGCTAACCCGGGGTGTCCTAACAATAGAGGCGCTCCAAGGTATTTTTTCAGGAAATGCCATAATATATATAATCTTTGCAGGGGGTGTATTATTTTTACGCAAATATCTCTCTCCAACTCCGACCCCACAAATTGCCAAACTCGAAAAATCAATATTGGCGTTAAATAATGAAATACAAAAAATGAAAGGAGAGGTGGAATGGGATCGTGTATCGCAAGGTAAAAAAATATTCTGCTCTTCCTGGTTGTCTTTGCATATGTCTTCAAGGGTAAATAGGTACTAACTTTTTTATTATTTATCATTTAGGTTCATCTCGATTCTCTTCCAGCTATGTATCTACCAGTCAATATACAGAATATCCTGATGAAGTCCAAACTTTATGGGTAGAATTCACAGCCTTATTTAATCAAAGAAGAAGGAGGGAGGGGCGCTCCCATACACAGTTATACAATGTAATTTCCCAGGAAATACATTTAAGTTCTGCGACTTTGGCGAGTTTCTACCGCCATCAAAAAATACCGAGGACTACTTCCTTGGATAAAATCGATACATGGGTTAATAGAGAAGGGAGGAGGGATTCTAGTAGTAGTAGTAGCAGTAGTAACGATAATGGTAGTAATTAGTGGAGCCAAAGAATAGGAGCAGTCATTGTCTTTCGAGATGGGCTTTGGGTCCGACTGCAAGTGTTCTAATATCAGACTATTTGCCTATGGCATCTATCTGACATTTAGAACGCGTTTTCCCATGCAACTCCATAAAAATTTATTATATTTTATATATCTAGAAATACGAAAAAAAATATCTTTATTGTATGAATTTACATAATAAAAATAATCTGTCTAAAAAAAAATCTTGGCTATTGTTTTGGCAGGGCCCGGCTGAAATTCTAATCATATGATTTTAAGATAAAGAGATCTTTTTTTGGGAAATCACTTAATAGGTTTTATGGGAAAAAATATGTGACAATACTGAAAAGATATTATTTAGGCGATCGTTAATATTTATGCACCTCGCCTAGAAAATAGAAATATATTTATTTGTATAATCATATCTACCTCAGGCCTATTTCCTAGATATATACTCTTCGATCTTTTTTTCTTAGGACGGTTGCTTATTTATATCCAATACCTTCCTTGTGGTTTTATTTTCAGATAGGAATGGCAAGATTCTGCTTCGCGTCCTGCAAT